CAGAATAAAAAAACAAGATGTTTAATGGGGTAGCCAACAGAAGAAACAAAGAAAGTTTTTTAAATGAGGTAGCCAACAGAAGAAACAAAGAATGTTTTTTTTAATGAGGTAACCAACAGAAGGAACAAAAGTTTTACCAGGTAGCCAACAGAGGAAGAAAACATGTTTTCTATAGTTCTGGGAAGAGATTCTCTACTTCGAACTACATCCTCCCATTCTGCCAGGTGGTGATTAAGTAGAGACTGACCCTAAAAATATGAAATAATGAAAATGTTATATATTCAAAAATATTATTTTAAAGAAAAATTCAGTCATCTTTATAACAGAACTGTAGAATACAAATAATAACAAATGCAGTTAAATTTATAGACTTTGAACGTTTAGAACGCAGTAGACAGGCATTCCTCAATGAATATTCAGGATACATACACTAACAGCAAGGTACCAAATCATTCCGTGTTAAACATTCTAAGTACAGCCATCATCAAACCACAGTACCACGATACAATGTTAAACCTTCTATGTACAGCCATCATCAAACCACAGTACCACTATACAATGTTAAACCATCTAAATACAGCCATCGTGAAATCACAGTACCACGAAACAATGTTAAACCTTCTAAATACAGCCATCATCAAACCACAGTACCACGATACAATGTTAAACCTTCTATGTACAGCCATCATCAAACCACAGTACCACGATACAATGTTAAACCATCTATGTACAGCCATCATCAAATCACAGTACCACGAAACAATGTTAAACCATATAAATACAGCCATCATCAAACCACAGTACCACGATACAATGTTAAACCTTCTAAATACAACCATCATCAGATCACAGTACCACAATACAATGTTAAACCTTCTAAATACAGCCATCATCAAATCACAGTACTACGATACAATGTTAAACCTTCTAAATACAACCATCATCAAATCACAGTACTACGATACAATGTTAAACCTTCTAAATACAACCATCATCAAACCAGAGTACCACAATACAATGTTAAACCTTCTAAATACAACCATCATCAAACCACAGTACCACGATACAATGTTAAACCATCTAAGTAGAGCCATCATCAAATCACAGTACTACGATACAATGTTAAACCTTCTAAATACAACCATCATCAAACCAGAGTACCACGATACAATGTTAAACCTTCTAATACAGCCATCATCAAATCACAGTACCACGATACAATGTTAAACCATCTATGTACAGCCATCATCAAACCACAGTACCACGATACAATGTTAAACCTTTTAAATACAGCCATCATCAAATGAGAGTATCACGATACAATGTTAAACCTTCTAAATACAGCCATCATCAAATTACAGTACCACGATACAATGTTAAACCATCTAAATACAGCCATCATCAAATCACAGTACTGCGATACAATGTTAAACCATCTAAATACAGCCATCATCAAATCACAGTACCACAATACAATGTTAAACCATCAAATCACTATATAATGTTAATCATTTCCAGGTGATATTATTAAGATTCCATATGGCCATACATAAAAAAGTCAGTTTTCGGTCACGTTTCAAGACTCCTATAAATGACATATGTAATTTAACCAGTGTTACATTTGTGTGTTGATTAAATTTTATATTCTATCTTTAGGAGTTATCAAAGGATTTCTTTAAACACGGTCAATATCGTTAAAGAGTACAAAGAAAAACTTGTACAAATTATTCAGGTCCACACATAAAACACGTTTTGTCAGATTTTAATACATTAACTTTGGTCAGCTTTAACACTTTTATATTCCACCACTTCTGAAGGTTAACAGTCTTGTCCGTTAATAATACTGTTTTCTAAATCAGTACCTTGGTGTAGTAGGCCAGGTAGTGCTTAACTAGGGAACACTGACGTTCTAGAACAAAACCGTATCTTCTTCTTTCCTGGGTTATCACCTGAATAAAAATACAGATTGAAGAACCTATGATATTATACATCATTAAGAGATATGCACTTTCTGTTTACTTTACTGCTCTTTTTATATTACACTGTCTATAGCAAATAATATCATAACATAACTGTTACACTAAAAAAAAGTTGTATCTTAAGATAACGACCTCTCTCCAGTTCGTTTGATACATCAGAGTATTTTTGTGGTTGACTGCTTGATAGCTAATAAAACCCGCTCAATTTCTGAAATATTTATTAGCAAAAACTCCTTAAATTCTGCAAACAAAAGTACAACGTTTTATAAACTTTATTTTTAAACACAGAAACTGTTTTATGTCTGTAATGCCTATTAATACATATTTTTATTTACATTATGAGACAAAAATCTTGATCGCATTCTTTTTCTCACCTGTTTCTATCTCTGCACACACCACTACCTCACTCCTGTTTCTATCTCTGCACACACCACTACCTCACTCCTGTTTCTATCTCTGCACACAACCCTACCTCACGCCTGTTTCTATCTCTGCACACAACCCTACCTCACGCCTGTTTCTATCTCTTCTCACACTCCTACCAGTTTCTATCTCTTCTCACACCCCTACTTCTCACCCGTTTCTATCTCTACTCACACTCCTACCTCTCACCCGTTTCTATCTCTTCTCACACTCCTACCTCTCACCCGTTTCTATCTCTACTCACACTCCTACCTCTCACCCGTTTCTATCTCTTCTCACACTCCTATCTCTCACCCGTTTGTATCCCTGATCACACTCCTATCTCACCTGTTTGAGTCTCTGCATATATTCCTACCTCTCACCCCAAATAAATCTTTATCAAAAACTCGTAACAATTCAAAAATATGCGTGTTTCAGAATGAACATAAACAGTTCCAGCATCTATACAAAAGCCACCAGGAGGCGTACCAGAAAGCAGCGACCTCTGTCAAGAAGCAAAAGAAGAAAAATCGTAATAGCAAAGCAGCTAATGTCGATAAGGAAATTAAGGTTAGATATTTCTCTTTTCACAAGTGGATTGTGTTCTTTGTTCAAAGAAAATTATCGTACAGAAGCAGATACATCTTTTAAGACACAAAATGCATTTCTAAAACTTAACGGTTGAATTTCAACTAATGTTTACAGGTTATCGTCCTTCTTTTTAAACGTGTTAAACTGTGTGTTTTATCAAAGCTCTTTTAAATTTGGATTTTTGAAGGTAATGTTTAAAGGGTGAACAATAAGAAAAATTCGACTTCATAATGTTAATTTCTGTCGTTCTTCATGATGTATATTCTTATCACAGAAGCTTTAGTAATTTTTTCAACAGCATTCATATTAAACATATTAAATATACAATAAAAACTTGACGTCGTTTTAAAGCTAAGTTTCAACAACAAAATTTGTTTTCCAGCACATGCAGATTATGGATGAAGAAAAGTCAAAGTTGGACGGTTTTTGTGAGCAGAGACTCAAACAGGTGAGATAGGAGTGTGATCAGGGATAGAAACAATCAGAAGATATTTTTGTGTCAAGGCAACTTTATTCTTTACAAACTTTGTTTTTCTTAACTATTTAATAGAAGATTCACCAATTAATCATTTCAATTACGCCACCTGTAAATATTCATAAGCTCACGTGACAAGGTAATAAGGTACTTAATACCGTTACTGTATTAAGTATCTATGTACAAAGAAGGTACTTTCCACAACTATTAAACAACTGGTACTATGACAACTGTAATGGTATCAATATTCTGTAGCTATAAAATGGGTACTTATGTATGATACTCTGGGCTGTTAAAGTTTAATCTTACACTAAATAAATTATTTAGTGACAGTTTAATACTTGTGCTACAATATCAACAGCTTGGGTAAGACACTTACCGCTACAATATCAACAACTTAGGTAAGACACAGCTACAATATCAACAGCTTGGGTAAGACTCCCACGCTACAATATCAACAGCTTGGGTAAGACCCACCGCTACAATATGAACAGCTTGGGTAAGACACTTACCGCTACAATATCAACAACTTGGGTAAGACACAGCTACAATATCAACAGCTTGGGTAAGACACAGCTACAATATCAACAGCTTGGGTAAGACACTTACCGCTACAGTATGAACAGCTTGGGTAAGACACTTACCGCTACAGTATCAACAGCTTGGGTAAGACACTTACCGCTACAGTATCAACAGCTTGGGTAAGACACTTACCGCTACAGTATCAACACTTAGGTAAGACACCCACCGCTACAGTATCAACACCTTAGGTAAGACACCTATCGCTACAGTATCAACACCTTAGGTAAGACACCTATCGCTACAGTATCAACACCTTAGGTAAGACACCTATCGCTACAGTATCAA